AGAAGATTTTTGAAATTTTAGTCAATTTGACCCTTTTTGGCCCCGCCCCTCAGGCCCCTGGGGGCTTAGGACTAAACCGGCAACTATTTTTGTTGACCTTTGTCCATGGAAGGTCCCTGCAAAATTTCATTGAAATTGGTTCAGGGGTTTTGGAGAAGAAGTCGAAAATGTAAATTGTTTACGGACGCACGACGGACGACGACGGACAAAAGGCGATCGCAATAGGTCACTTGAGACTTTGCTGTGCTTTGCTGTGGTCTTAAAGTGATGATTTCTGCTTCAAAATGAAGCTTCCTGACAGCCAGCTCTCTCTAGGTAATAATTAGTCCTGAAAGACATAAACTATGAGTATTCCCCCTCGAGGCCGTCAGAATAGAAAAAAATATCAACAGCCTTTCAGAGAAATATTGTTATATATACATACTAGTATACATGCTGGTCGCCTTTTATCAATTTTGTTTTTCTTGTTCCCCCTTATAGTCCAGTGCTAAACTTATTGTTTTATCATGTTGTAAATATCATAGCAATATCAAGACCAATTGTTAAAAACAAATAAAAATGTAGAATAAAGGAACCCCTACTTAACAGCTACAACTAAACAGAAACTGGCTTTAAAGTCATTGTTAGATCTGGATAATCCTTATTATTGTATCTGACTGTCAGGTCACAGAGGCTGCTTCCAACGCCTGGGAACAGAACAGCATATCCATGTACAGACAAGGAGGAAATAGTTCTTTCGTGTGCTCAATAATATAATTCAAAATTAGTAAAACTTTTATAAAAGGATAACTTTTCAAACTGGTTGTATGATTATTTCCACTGGCAATATATCATCCATAGACTATTGGAACACACGACAGAGGTTTTACCTATATACAAGTACATAAATAAGTGTCATTTGAACTTTGCTATAAATATACAAAATGTTTCTTAGTTCTACTTTGCATATAGGGTTTTGTTTTATCCATAAACAGGAACATATTAAATCATCATATGTTCTTAATGACAAAATACATACGAAAAAAAGCAAAAAGAAACTATCGGTACTGTACATAATAACGAGAGCTTTAACACAGACGGGAGAGGTAGAGAACATACCCGGGTCCCCAATATATATATCTATATCAGTGTTTTGTACCTCACAACAAAGCGATGTCAGAGCCCCTCAACAACCGACAGTTTGCATTAGATAACCAGTAACACTATTGTATATGTGGAGAGACCCTTTTTAACAATGAAACATTGTGTCCTGTAGAAAGAGGATCTCTCACAATTCATTCCCGTTACTGAACAATTATACAGGGTATAAACAGTGCTTGTTTTTACAGGTATTCTATTTAATTAATCATATGACTTTTGTTTTTCCTTTTGTATTTGGTCTCTGTGAATTTTTCTGATTAATACTTTAGTGCATGTGTGCAAATCATATAAAAATAGGAAGAGTCCATTGATATGAATATTAAGATTCTTTTCTTGTGCATTAAAATTTTACAAACCAATGAAGTTGGCTATGATGGTAATATTTTACAAACATAAATGTATTTGCGTAGACCTGTCATGATGAGGGGTTCTGTGTGGACTACTAAAACTATACGGGACACTAGATTACATGCTGCTGGCGAGAGATCGGTAGACTAGGCGTAGAAACAGCTGACATGTGAACCGCAACTCTCTGTGGTGAATGTCCATTCTCCGTGGCGAGGTAACCATTATGATGACTTGAGCTTTGTATGAGTACCTTAGACACATGTCTACTCTCATGTAGCCCTTCATCGTCGGCACTCAGAGAGTTTTTCATACGTTGTATCTTAGCCTGTGACAGACGCAGGGTGTCACTACGTGACAATGTGACTGCCTCCGTCACCACACGGTCCTCAGCATGATCTACCCAGTCACTTCGCTGGACTGGCTCAGACTTTTTCATGATGTAGCCGTCCGATTTACTAATGGGGATATTTACAATGTGAGACGATGCGTGATTGTCATCCTCCAGCCCATTCATGTTCAGGTTGTCATATTCAGAGTGCTCTGAAGGCGTCTTCAATTCCCCGGCAAGATTCTCAATTGTCGTGTCCCGCGATGGTTGTTCCTGTTCCATGAGCATTATAGGTTCACCCTCTCCATGTGCATCGTTCATGACGGGAGTGAACCTCATCATACCGATACTGCCGGCCTCCGAGCCATCAGCAAATGAAGTTCTAGAGCTTTGCATGGAAACTTTGGAACTAAAATCTGCCAGAGAAAGCCTTGAATTGGCTGCTGTATCATAGTATGATGATCGATCATCCACAGAATAGTCTGAAAGTCTACTAGACTTCATAGACGCACTGTCTGTACTACGAGACATTTCTGGAGTTTCTGAACTAGTCAATCCCCGCCTTTTCTTGAATCCAGATTTTCCCTTGTGCGGATTGCGTTTAAAATGTTCATCAACAGATTCAGGGTTTCTACTCTTAATAATCTGTTCAATACTTGGCTCAATTTCCAGTCCAAATGGTAACGAAGGAAGCTCATTAGCCTTGGCTTTGAGCGGTACTTCCATCTTAGCTTTCCTAAGTTCCTCAATTACCACCTGTAATTGGTCTATCACAGAATCATCATCATACCCAAAGTCTTTCTCTAACCCCGATTGGAAGAATTGAAGTATGTCATCCACATTCATCTTCAAAAGTTTTCCTGGAAAAAAGGCAACACAATATATGGTATTGATAAGGTGAAACAATGTGTAGCATTTATTAGGAGACCTATATAGCAAATCATTATTGAGAGTAATTTGACATTTGATGTTAATGTAGCAAATATAACAAAATGTGAATTCCAGTAGTTAAGTTAAATTTTGTTTAGAGTTACTTTCTATATTTCTGACAAGATTGCAGACAAACATCGTGACATATGAGATACAGGGATACTGACGTTGTAATTCAGTTGGCATTATGTTTCCAAACCTATATTATTGTGTAGGCCTCTCATATAGTGATATTTATGTTAGTGTTACTTGAATATAGTGTAGGACTGCGATCAAGGGGCAATTACGTACGTCGGTGCAAGTAGATTGTTGTGTAGTCCTATGACAAAGAGGTACTTACGTCGATGTAACTTGATTATTGTGTAAGCCATGCCAGTGAGTAGAACTTCACCCTCCAGCATAAGGATATCCCACAGACGAAGATTAAGTGTGTAGGGCACCTGGACAAGTAAACCATAATTTCCGAATGAATAACAGAGATTTATGCTTGACATATTGACAATTCATATTCCTCTATTTTGTAGTCAAAGTAATATCTAATTTTGCCAGTAACATATTTTTTTATTTGACATGATGAAATTTCTGATCTACAAGTTCGGATTTCAGATCTTTACTACCAAAGGATGAGAGAAAAAAAGAAAAAAAGACAGATAAAGAGGCTACTGCCCTTCCACAAAATGCCTGACCTTGTTGGGACAACAGTAGAACTTGTATGTACTTACCCGATCTAAAAAGCACTGGAGAAACCATTTGATGGTGTACAATGTTGTGTAAATGTCATTTTTATCCTGAAATCAGCAGAAACCTCAAAATTAAGGTAGTTCACAACAAAACAATCAAGAATCATGTTTGCATACACTTGATAATAGCAAGAGAGTTTGTCAGGTGACCTAAAAACATAAATATATGTACATGTATATATATACCCTCTAGAGTTACATTAACGCAAACTCAAATGTTAAATTTAAGGGTCCAATATCGTCCTAGGGAGAGTTGGCAAGTATGTATAGACTTCAATGCATTCCAAACTTTTCATCTATGTCCAAATCTTAATTTGATCTGCATTTACATATACTTTAAGAAATGTTCTACATACCATAATTAAAACATAGTTTTTCAATTTTCTGAAAGCCAAGTTTAGATCAATATTTAACACCTCAGATGGTGTCAAGTTTTCTTGAGTTAATAATGAAAATACCTTTCAAACAGTTATCAATAAACTATGGATTCTTTATAATAAGGAATGAACTATGAAAATCATGTTAAAAATGTTATTTCAAATATGTAACACTGAGCAAAGCCCAACAGACGCTCCTGTTCCCACTTTGTATTCCTGTATTTTCTTTTTTAACAAAGAAACATCAAAACATGTTAATAGCATTCATTGCTGAAATGATATACATCCCAACAATAGAGGGGTAAAACCCGATTCTTATCCAACTAAGGTACACTGAATGTATGTTACAGGAAGGAGGAGCTGAGAAAATTAGTAAAAACAACCAACTTGTAGGGTGTTAAACACCAAAGAAAATGTTGAAAATGGAATCTCCATTAGTTTAAATAGTATTTTATTCAATTATCCAACATTTTTATTAAGGAGGCTCCACCCTTTCTCAATTAGCCAGCAGAATTCAATGAAAGTTTCACAAAATGGTTATGTCCCTATGTAGAGATAATTTTATGAAAATCTAAGCATTCCGATAAACTGGGGATTTTTTTGTAAAAAATACCGAAAAATTGATTTGTTGTCAAATTCAACACTTTCACATTTTTTGAGCGTGTGGCATTGTTCAAAACTATTGCAACAACAAAATAAGGAAAAGAAACATTGCTAATCAACCCTACAAATATTTTAATTATCATAAAATATCCACAACATGTTACAAAAAGCATTTTTTATTGAAATTGTATGGATAAAAGTTACTAAATACAAGCTAAAAGCAAACAGGACACATAGTTTCATACAAAAAGAGTGAAAAATTGTACCAAATACACACAAAGTCTTTATAATTAATTTATTAAACATTTTACAATAATTTTGATCCTGTTGAGAGTTGTCTACCTTGAAAAAAAACGGAACTTTTTGCAGAGGGATAGAATTTATACAATGACACTTATTTTCTTTCCTATACCAAAAACGATGAAAATAAATATATTAAATTACAATATTTCATTGTCAATTTACTGTTCTTTTATGGAATAAAATTACTCTCAATCATGTACACTTTGGACATCATTCCATAGCCCTCTTACGCATGGTATATTAACATGTCAGGTACATATGTAACCATAGGCTATCGCATGGTATGCCGTTATTACATGCACGCACATGCACTTGCATTTTATAGGGATCTTGATATTTTACAAACCACTATTTTCACAGAGTTATTGTAATTGCATTTGTGAACCAATTTATCTGACAGAGCGTAACTCGCTCAACAACAAAAGTGAACTACTGTTAGCACATGATACGTACAGGTGAGGTCGATAAACAAAACACAGCAGTCTGCATTCCATGCGCCTCATATACGACATTCTTGAAGTCATCTGATCGTATGTCAGTGTTTTCCCGTGTGTTAATTAATGTCTTTGTATCATAAGCTTTATTTCTGAAGTACGTGTGATTACACATTTCCAAGTTAAGTCTCGATATCGGATGTTGACATATCGTCACGCACGTGTACTATTGTTTACCCAGTGTTACTATAATTTACACTACGGTAATGGAATGCCGATACGCAATATCGAAATGACGAAAAGAAAATACGACAAGAAAAACATGTGTATTACGAAGGGTGGGAAGTCTTTACATACATAAGATATATGAATTCAGATGGATAGGAAAACAAGCTTTTGGTGAAGAAAATATATGTCTCTATGAACTAATAATGATGCAAGTGGGGGCATAAACATATCTCACGACAGGGATTAACATTGAATACAGAGGCCAAAACAACTGGAAAAGCGTTTGAGGATTTCAGAGTGGTTTCCCTAAGACCTATCAAGTGCAATGTAAGATACTTACAAAAAATCTCCGAAGCTTTGGAGTAAATCTTTTAAGAATATTGTCATGGTGTTCTTGAAATCTCAGTAGCTTTGGAAATCCAGGGATGAAAAATCCTGCAAAAATTAATAGATCCAATTAAAGGCACATCAACAGGCAACCATAACAACTATAAATGTACTATGATTTTAGAATTATAGATTACCAATACAGTACTTTTCAGAAGCCACAGTAAGATATGACTGAAGCGGTGGATAGGGATTTCATCTGTTTGCTCTAGATGACTTTTCTTGTGACTTTTCTTGTGACATCTACAGAATTAAGTATGGTTAACATTTGTTTGTAATTAAAAACATATACACATAACAAACATGTTGTTTACAATGGAATATTTTGTAGCAGATATATAAGTAGCATTCTGGTCAGTGAAAGGCCTATCTGTGTTATTTGTAATATCATTTATAATATGTGACATTATGTATACAACACTGTGATATACTATAAAGAGCTCACAAGTTGAAGCATTACACTGTACAATTGTAATCACACTGAATCAACACATACTCAACAAGTTTGTGTGTTATGATATACATGTAAGTTCTGATTTTGAAAAGAGTTATTTTTACATTTACTTGAACATTTTTTTTAGCTCAATGTTAAAATTGTGGTTTCAAGATTGATGGATAATTTGTTTGTATAGTGTCACTAAACTAGAAATGATGTTTAGTAGAAGTTTTGGATCTATCAATCTGCTAAAACTTGACAATATTACTGCTGCAATAATAACCATGTCAACAGTTTGGTTTTGTCTTCATTTTGTCTTTAAGGTTTAGTGTATAGCTGAAACAACTGGCAAGTATGAAGTACAAGATACACAGCAGCTATTTGCAAGGTCTTAATATCCTAAAATCCCTTACAGGATAAAATATTTTGTAATGAGTGCAGTTGTTCAGTTTTATTTATTTACTAGTTAATATTCTTCAATTTCATTTGGTTTTGTTCTAGTATTTTCCATTATATGTAATTTGTCCAATTCATGTATACATATCCAACACTGATCTTGACCTTTAACCTTCTATCAATAAGTTCAAAATATTTGTGAGGTATGGAATTTCTTAAATTTTATGAATGTATGAAACTGAATCCTTCTTAAAATAAGCATCTTTATATTGTATTATCAAGATGACAAACTCTTGTACGAATTTCAAGATGTCAATTACACACATGTATATGATGTTATTGTTTCTCTCCGATACCTGTGTGTGTACATGTAACCTGGGAGCATGTCAAAGGAGATCAAAGAATTCAGAACCTATCAGATGATATTAACTAAAACCCATGGGGAAGTCTCAGGTTCTTATCATGATTTCACACTCCTTGGAAAGAGTTTTCCTACACTAAACAGACTCATATATAAGCTATGAGAGTGTAATGGTCTGTGATCAATGGTGAAGTTACCGGAGACTTATATATTTACCATGCATTCCATGTTTCTTTGAGGAAAAGAGGTTGGAGAGGGCCCAGAAAGCATCCTGTAAAGGAGACATTGAATAGATTTAAAATCAGCAAGACATCTATGATTGCTTATCCACTTCTGATATCACTTGACTTGTAATCTATACTTACATATCTCTATTGAAAGGCGATACATGTATAAATGTATAATCCCAATTGAGGCATTGGCTAAGATTTGGATGTTACTGTACATCAATTCGTTATTGAGATAAGGTGGTGATGATCGCCAACAGGTATGTGACAAAACCTAAGTTTATGTACAGAAAATGATTTTCTCTCTATAATAACATCGACCTTGAACTTTGACCAGATGACAAGCAATGTAATCCAAATAAGTAAAAGGCTCAAACTGTTAATTGATTCCTGTTTAACAATATAATTTATATACAGGGCTGATTGAATGACTCACCTCTTCCCCCATGTACATAAGGAGGAGCGCTGCTATCTCACTCATCCCCTGGCAGTACCCAACCTCAGTGTTGTACATGGAGTATGCCGCCAACACATGAAACAGTGCCTGTTGTCTGAAAGGTAAGAATGCATGGTACAGTCAAATGTGTTATACTGTAGAAAAGCTTGGAGAATATTACCACAAAAGTTAGGAAATATTTCTTTATTTCTTTTTGTATTTAAAAAGAGATCAGATTTGTTATGAAACGCTTCGATAAAGCAAAATGAAACATAAGTGTAAGCAATTCTTTTAAAAGCAATATATCGAACTGGTGTCCAGCTTAATAGCAGCATTGGCATAGCTACACATATGTATTAAAATCAAGAGTTGTTTCCCTTTAATTACAGAAGAATGTGGCCAAACATTCAAGGTTTTGTTATGGGAGTTTCCCAACCTTACATACTACACATGAAATTACTGATGGCTGATCCTTGTTGTATAAACAAAACCTGATACTTACTGCACACCGTATCGTGACCCCATCCTTGTTGTATAAACACCACCTGATACTTACTGCACACCGTATCGTGACCGCATCCTTGTTGCATAAACACCACCTGATACTTACTGCACACCGTATCTTGACCCCATCCTTGTTGCATAAACACCACCTGATACTTACTGCACACCGTATCTTGACCCCATCCTTGTTGCATAAACACCACCTGATACTTACTGCACACCGTATCTTGACCCCATCCTTGTTGCATAAACACCACCTGATACTTACTGCACACCGTATCTTGACCC